GGCGGGGGGGGGGGGGGGATCAGGGTGGCTGGCTGAGCCCATGTTTAAATCTCCAGTTTACGGCGTGATTTGAATGCAGCGGCTTGTTGTGGAAGTCAAATATCACTTTTAAATCTCCCATTAGAATTGTATGGATTTTTATTTTTTCAGATTTTACGCGCTACAGGACGATCATGACGTGGTCTGTTTTTTCATTGAACTGATTTGAGAAAGACGGAACACATGGGTGAAAATGTCTGTGTAGGTTCTCAGTCACATCGAGGGCAACTGGACCGAGTATTTTTTTTTTTTTTTTGGAAAATGTTTCACCTCTCATTCAAGAGAGAACGAACTGAAGAAGCCTCTCGGATGAGACGTGAAACGTCTTCCAAAACACCAACTCCGTCCAGCTGCAGTGAAACGTTTTCCAAAACACCAACTCCGTCCAGCTGCTGTCGATGTAACTATTTTTGAATTGGGTGAAAATGATACTTTTAAATATCAAGACTTTCTATCGTTGCATCACTTCCTGTTCAGCCTAAACTTAGCGAAACAGGATTGTGGTTTGTTGGTTGACATAGGTTCAAGTCCCGCCCCAGAGTTTTATTTTTCCTCAACTAGACATGGAGTTGGGGTCGCCCTCTGAGCAGTTGTGGGTGTGAGTGATTGTTTGTCTCTGTATCCTAAGGTTAGCTGGAGAAAATAAACCAGTTTGGTTTTCAGCCCTTAATTCCAGTACGATTGTATTTTCATTCAACGTGGACAAAACTTCCTCCCCCAAAAGTTGTAAAATCATTTGCATCAAAGTGGCACAATTAGATTGTCCCATTTTAAATACTCACACCGGCGGCGCTGAGAGATGCAGCGTCCCATGCTGAAAGATTAATGCTCCAGAGGCTGGATCCCCCTGAGGCCAAGCTCTCCCAGAATGCAGTGTGTGCCAGTTACAATTTGGCAGTTTCTCATTCTCTCTCTCACACACACACACGGTCAAACAACATGCGAGGAGATACTACAGTATATGGAGATGATGTTGACATAATTAGTGAATATTTTCAAGGTCAAAGCAGTTTTTTTTTTTTAACGTAGACACAGATCTGGAACGTTCTACGACGACTACTACTGACAAGCATGACATCACATCACACTGCTGATGCTGATGCTGATGCTGATGCTGATGCTGATGCTGATGCTGATGCTGATGCTGATGCTGTGTTCAGGTCATTATGGACTAGTGACCAGTGACCAGTACACCAGGTGGTGTCACTTCACTGCAGTACTTCATGGTCTGTTCTGTAACCTCTCAATTGAAAACACATCAAACGCGGTGTTTATTTTTGGTCGTAGTAATATTTACAGTCACTGTGTAGCAGCCGTTCAGCCGACTGTGGTCGTGGTACAGAGTTTAACAGCCCCGGGAGACGGTGGAGACTGGTTATTTCGACTGTTGGACTGAATCCTTGACCCCCGCCCCCCACTGACCGTACTAACTGTTAACCTCCCTCATTCATCTGATTAGTTCTTCAATGATTATGGCTCTAATTAGACCTGACCGGGCCGAGTCTTGACCTGTGACGGACAAACAGAAACGATAATGACTTTAGCCAAGACGTCTACAGTCGACAGTCGACAGTCTACAGTCGACAGTCTGTGTCCATGTCCTCCACGTCAACCTGGAGGCTGGAAGATCTAAAAACATTTTTGAAACTATTCTAAAACTAACTTTTCAATGATTTTTCTTCCTTACTTTCTGTCTGAAAACTTTTTTTTTTACACGAACGAAGCTTCGTTTCAGACGAGACGTTTAATGACTGTACGTCTTGGACAGATTACAGACTGAGTAGAGAAAGTCCTGCAGCTGCAACAGACAACGCTGCTAATTATCCTGCCTATTATCCAGTCGCCCGACTCACCAAATTAAGCCCAGTGACCCATCTTTAGGTCACGACCTACTATTTTAGAACCACTTCCCCGCTGTTAAGAATAAAGTCACCGGAGACTTAACTAGTCATGAACAAATAATGGTTAGTTTTACATCTATGAGTAAATTATAATAATAATAATTTATTAGCGTTTAAAGCTAAAAAGTGCGATCTTTGCAAAAGTAAATGTTGACATTAAAATAAATATTTCTTTTAATTTATGTATCGCATGTACGCTTTAAAAACTGAGGCAGCAAAAAGGAGGAAAAGGAAAAATACAAACCACTCTCTGCTGGTATTAATCTCCATTAGTACGCTGGTGCCAGTACTACAGATACTCGTGGTTGAGTACTTGTTTGTCGGCAGTACTGTAAAGAGTACTGTAGCGTTCCTGGTGTCTGTGTTTGTGACATCCAGATGTGACGTGAACACCGCGGCTCGTCTTTCACATCTGAGTCCAACAGAGAGAAGCTGCAACATCAGCAAAGTCTGGAACACACACACACACACACACACACACACTGCAAGGTCTATAAGTGTCTCCACGGTGGTGAATGCAAGACGACACCTAGTGTACCAACGAATGACTGACATGTTGTCGTCATTCACCCCCCCCCTCCCTCACCCCCTCCCACTTCACTCTGTGTAAGACAATGTGTCTGGTGCTCTCTTACAGCAGTTGCAGTGTGTTTGTTGGACTCTCTGCAGTGCCATGAATAATGCAACAGCGGCGTGGTTGTGTGTTTATTTATACGTGTATGTGTGTGTGTGTGTGTGTGTGCACCTGTGTTCCTGGGTGTCATTTATTATT